CAAAAAATAATAAGAACCTCCTAAAATTTATTGCACAAATGCTCCTTTCTTTTCAATAACACTTAGCAGCCTATTGTCAACATCTGATGTTAGATTTGCAATTTTAGCAGCTGGTAAGTTGTTTGCAGAAAACTTTAACTGCCTCCCAGAGGTCACACTTGCTGTTGAATTGCCTTCCATTAGAATAAATATCTCTCTTGAGGATGCTCCACAGGTTCTCAATGGAATTCAAGTCACAGCTATTTGAAGGCCAGTCCATAAGAGAATCTTCAACAAATCCCTTTTCTTTCAACCAGGATTTAGTAAACTTTGATGCATGACTTGGTGTGTTGTCTTGCATAAAGATCATAGATCTACGCTTGGCTAAAGACTGGTTATCAAGCCATTCAAAGAAATATTGCTCTAGAAAATCACAGTAACTTTTGAAATTCATTTTAACCCTGTCTTTCAGTTTAAATGGACCCACAAGCTCATTACCAATAATCCCAGCACATATCATAATCCCACCGCCGCCTTGTTGGCGTTTAAAAAAGTTTTCTTGAGTCATGTTGCTTGCGAGCCCATCCATTGGGCCCATTGAGAGTGATCCTTGATTTGTCTGTAAAAAGCACTTTACTGAAATCAGGTTTCATGTATTTTTTTTGCCCACTGCAATCTTCTTTTTTTGTTAAAATGGGTTTCTTTATTTGTTTGTTTTTTTTTTTACATCAGCAAACTTCTTTAATGCTTTACACGTTGATTTCCTTGACACCATAGGAGCTCCAGCAGCCTCAAATATGAACGCACTTGACGCATTTGGGTTTCTTATTAATTCTCTTCAGATATGTGATAGATCTCGCTTTGTTAAATTCCTGAATTCAGCCTGAGACTTTTTTTTTCCTTGGTTGAATTCCCATTTGACATATTTTCTTGATTGTTCGATGATCCCTTTTCAAATCCTTAGAAATTTGAAGCGAAGACTTTCTTTGCTAATTTCTTTGATTATATAGTTCTTTTCATTCATAGTTCTTTTTTACAAACCATAATACTAAATTCTAGTTCTTGCAAATAATCTCTTGACACTGCAAATTGCTATAATTACTGAAAAAATACTAAATATCAATCTGAAATTGAAAATTGGGACTTAATTGCTTTCATGCTTACTCGCTATACATAATAGTACAAATTATTTCAATGGATAACACATATCTATGAATTTTACATAAAATATTTGACAATACCTCTTTTGCATATAATCTCTAGACGCAGTTTAATAAAGAAACAAATCTAATGACTTCCCTATCTTCCAATATTTTTCGATGTAATTTTTTTTTTCTTTTTCTTCAATACTTTTCAACTTTTTTTTTTTTTTTTTTCTCCAGCCAAATCTTAATGTTGAAGAGTGCTGAAAATATCTCTTTTGGCATCATGAAGACTGCTCCTCCCAGTTGGCACTAGGTTACTTAACCTACACATATCACATAACTAATATTTTTTAAGTTTTTATTCAATTTGGGACAAGATTTTTTTTTTTCTTATTTTACAAGGAAGATATAAAATATTTTTTCTCCCCTTCTTACTTTTAATTTCATGAAAATGACAAAATATTTTTAAAGAGGACATCTTTTTTTTTTTTTTTTTTTTTTTTTTTTTTTTTTAACAGTATTTGTAACAGCTTTTATTTGTTGCTACTCTAAATTTGTTCCACCTCATCCTAGCTGCAAATTTTTCCTCTAATGGAAAGAAAATTAAGTGATTTAATCCAAGATTGTGAAGATATTTTGTTCCCAAATTCAAAAGAATTTTGAACTTTTCATGTAAATATTTAAATATTGTATATTTTGTGATGTCTCAATAAATACCAATGTTTCAAGCTTTTAATACTTATTTGTTTTATTTAATAATATCTTAATGTTTTACAGTTTTCTGAAGTGGATTATGGTGTTACAGTGGGGAAGAAACTTGTCTGTCATCTGTTAGAAGTTTCTGTGTCTATATCAATTCTAGTGGCCAGAAGAGATGCTAAATCATGCTGTCTCAATGACTGTCCACAGCTTTCTGATATTTGTATGTGCAGGCACAAGGTGGCACATTATCTTGTTGGGATAACCTATCATTGTAGTTGGGGTTCATGAATGGGGTTCATGAAACAGTGCAATTAGCTAGATGTATTTAGGCCAAAAGACCCAACCTATGCCATGTGAACATACTCCACATTATGGAAATACCAATCTTTGCAGTGTCTTGTTAGCAACTGGGGTTTATGTCCTTATGACTTTGCCAGTACTTCAGGGTCTAATGCTATCAAGATGTCAAAGTGTAATTTAAAATTATAATCTTCCAAATGTCATAATGGAGAAAAAAAATATCAAAATTTTGTTAATGTTCAACTGACCAGCTAGATATTCATCTGTACTGCCTTCATTGACTGTAGATATGATTTGAGCCATTGTTGCCTGGGAGCAATAATGCTTTCCCTCAGGTATTTCTAGTACACCTGTGAAGCCATAGATCTGTTGCGGGATTGCTAGTATGTTTGGGTAAATATCTAGTCACCATTATGTTGTGGGAATCAACACTTTGGATAGAAACATTTATCCCATAAACAATATTGGGGGATTCATGTGAGTCCAGGTAAAAATAATAACAAAGGAAATATAAAACAAAGAACAATGCATGTATTAAAATAAATTACATGTGACAAAAAGGAAAAAAATATGAAACTAGCTATAATAAGAATGTGCTAGTTTGTGCATAACATTACAAAAAGTAGACAAAAAAAATCATAAAAAATGAATGTGCCCCTACTGGTGGGGGCACTTTTTCTCTCATGTGCAAGTACATCTAGCCAGAAGCTGTAAAAGAAAAGAGACTATAGAGATAAATAAAGCCTTTATATAGGATTAAGGATTGCACCCTAGAGCCTTTTTTTTTTTTTTTTTTTTTTTTTTTTTTTTTACCAAAGTCTTGTATAATAATACACAAGACCTCCCCTCCAGATGGCAGAGTATTTTATTCTGCCTATATGACCATAAAGTTTGTATGTGCTGTCTGTTGTAGACTGAAAAGAAAGAGTTAAATGGTATAGTTGAGATGTGTGGGAGTTAACATGTTGATGAAAGCACTATGTCATCAGAGTGCTGTATAATTTTCTAATGAGTCAGAATGTAGCACACTCTGGAAAATATGTTGGTAGTGTATTTTTCATATTAAAAATCAAGGTAGAGATCAGCAGTTGGTATTAAAATTTTGTTGTTCCAATGCTCCATGTTGAGTTGATTTTTGTTTGGAAGTCTTGGTTTATTTTGCTCTGTGTGGATGATCTTGGTGACACAAGAAATTAGCAGAAGGTTTGATTTGTAAAGTTGTTGAGTTAATGCTGGTGAAATTTCTGATGTGTGTCGAAGCATGTTTTGTGAGAACTTTTGAAGATATCTGGTATTATTGTCCATTTTTTTTTCTCTGATGCAGCTATCTTTGTATTATTAAATTGTTCTTGTTCACATCTTTGAAGAGTGAAATGTCAGTGGGTTGACGTAGAATTATTTCACATCTTTATCTGTTGAGCCAAGGAGAATCATTGCTGCTTAATTGAGAATGGAGTTGACTTCCATGGTGTGATTGGTAAAAGAAGAAAATGAGCTGTTTTGTGTGCTTCAAACTTTTAAGATGAGTCATTTTTCGTCTTGGTTATAAAAAAAAAAAAAATGACATTATCTGCTGGTTGTACAAGAAGTCAGGTGTGATTGTGCCTGAGAGAAAGGATGTGGGAATGAAGAGTTGATCACCTGTTGACTGTAGTAGTAATTGTAATGGATATTATTACTAATAGTTTGCACGTGTTGAAAAAATATTTCTTGACTTGAAGACCATCTTGTCCAGCTATATTCATGTAAATGTGCTTTAGTTTTGAATTTTGCAGTTTTGCTCTTTACATTGGATTTAATCAAAAATTTGTAAGAGTAAATTATTTTTTTGGTGTCCATCTTGTATGGTAGGGAGAGTAGTTGGTTGAATTACATTTTTCACTGGCTCTTGATCTTGAAAAGTGTCTGAACAATGCATAGTTGAGTTTCTTTATGTAGTTTTATTTATTTATTTATTTATTTATTTTTTTTTTTGTTCCAGGAGAAAAATATCACCTAGGTAGTCATCATTATTTGTTGGATTGCTGGTATGTTTGGGTAAATCTTTAGTCACCAATATGTTAAAGGGACCAAACACTGGATAGTAAATATGTGCTGTCTAACAAAACAAATTGCTTTTGTGTTTTCATGCCACAAAGAATTACATGAGGAAATAAACATAAAACACATCAACAATGTTTATTAAAAATTAATTTTTTAATAGAATTTTCTATGACCACAATAACTGGTCCTTTTGAATAAGGAAATATTTCTTCATGTATTTTGTCTTAATTGCAAATCTTATAGCTGTATCATCCCATTTTTTTATGAAAGAACAAAGTAGAATTGCTGCAATGTTGAATTTTATTCAGAATATAGCAAAATGAAATCAGTATTCCAAGAAAAATGTAACCATAAATTATATTTCACTCAATCCCATTGTGATATGCTTTAATAAACGGATTGAAATTGTGAATTAAACATGCACATTTCCTTTTATCTTACCATAGCATTTTATCCTAAATGTGTTTTCTTTCAACAGTTTGAGAAAAATGTGTGAAAAGTTTGGAAAAATTTAATTTGGAAAATTTGTACAAATTTTTAATTATATATTCATTTTCTTTTTGCAAATTGTTTAAAACTGAAACATGAAAGGGAAAATAATGACTCCTTTAAATATTTATTTAACAAAAACTAAATTTTAATAAAGCCTGCATATTTTAAATTTTAGTGAGATTTGTTTTCTAAGATTGAGATATCTAATGTTGTGTACCTAATTATGATTGTAATATGTATTCATCAATGTTTTCAATTAAACTAACAAATTTTTTCCAGAATTTCAGTTTTTCAATATAATTAACACTTGGGAAGTGTGTTTCATAAAATAATTCTGCTTCACTGTTGCTTTTGGTGGCTCTGTATACAAAATAGAAAAGTTTCTTAATATCTTTCACAATGTCAAATGATGGATGAAAATCAACCTGAATGTGGCTTTTTTTGTGTGTATAGTACAATAATGCATTGATCATATTGATATTTTTTGGAGCATGAATATCCTGAATGTTTTTGTACACCTGTGGAAACCTTACTCTTCCTTGCATATCAGAAGCTGTGAGGTAAAGTACAACATCATTGTTAGGCAACTCACATGAGCAAATTGGCGTGTTAGCCATTGGAACATTATTGACATACCATTCAAACTCTTCTTCCATCAATTTTTTCAGATTTTCTGCAACAATCACATCTCTTTTGTTGTTGGCGGCATACACCAAATCAATCACGCATTTGTGCGATCGATCTATATAATAAAAAATAAGAAATTAAAGAATAATACAAAGGAAGAATAACACATAACTGACATTCTTTCTCTGGAGGACCTGTTTCCAACTATTCACTGTTTACTAAATTAGCCTTGTAAATTATAAAGTGAAGTGTGACAAAACATTAATCCTGATCAGTATGCATTTAGTGATAACATATCTAAAACTTTGTATTCTTATGAATGAATAATACCTTGTCTCCCTCAGAACGATTTTGTGTGGCAATATTCAAATGGCCACTCTAGGGTTGGGGGAAAATGTTAGTGATCCATTAAAATATTAGGACAATAATAATAATGTAATCTTTTAATTTCCAAGTTCTATTTAAATCATGGAAGGTTTTATATAAATGATCACTTATGGAGGAAAGAAGAAAAATGAAAATTTCAGTGATCTTTGAAACTTGAGTTATATTTAATATTTCTATTTTTTTTTTTTTTTTTTTTTTGTCAAAAAGCAATTTTCATTTCATCAAAATTTGAAACCAATTTATATGTATATAAGAGTGAGAGATGGCAAGCAATAAGATCCTTCTGTGTGTGTGTATATATATATATAATATATATAATGATTAAACAATTTAGAGATGTTTGTTTATTTTCATTAATATCTTTTCATAATCTTATGTAAGCTTTGTTGTTTCATGATTAAAGAGACCAATAAATATAAACATGGTATTTTCCTTGCACTCTCTAATCCTGAAAAAGAAACAAAGCTTATACATGATTATGAAAGTATATATTGAAAATAAATAAACACATGTCTAAATGAAAATGTGTGTGTGTGTGTATATATATATATATATATATATATATATATATATAGTATCTCATGCCTCTAGCATGACTGTTTCATGCATTATGTAATCTTTGGGTGCATAATTCAAAATGACAATGAAGATTGTTGTGCATGAAACTCAGTCATGCTAGAGACATGAGATAGTATGTGTGTATTTATTAAAAGGGATTATTTCATTGAAGATTTCTGACAAAGCATCGAGATTGAGCTTTTTACTAAATTTTTATGTTAATGACCTGCATACAAGTCCACATATTGTACAACAGTGAGGATCTCAGGACATAGCTACAGGAACATTGGTTGACACTTTATGCCATTGTCTTTTGTTTATTAACCAGTGAAGATGACTGATTTCAAAATTTTTGATACCACTCTGGCACAAATATCTCCAGTTATTTCTATCCAGGGGAACTTGCACAAGGTTAATATGAGGCACATTGACATCTGAGAGGTTACTCTTTAGCTTGTCTTTATACCTGATCCACGGCCATCAAACATGTCTTTGTCCACTCTCAAGCTGGCTATACATGAGGACCTTATCATCACTCATCCTTGCAACAGCAAAGTTGTGACTGCATCAAAAAAAGTCTCAATTCCATATATATATATATATATATATACGCACACACACTCGGTAACAGAAATCTCGAAATTTTTAATTAAGCATGTTTATTGCTTATTGTTATTACTGAAGTAAATGTCAAGAATAAACAAATTTATAATTGCAGAAGATGAAGAGAAAAAGTGAATTTTATCATAAACCCCACTGTAATTTATTGGGTATAATCAGGTTGGTGCATGTAAATAAAAATTATTAAAAGCTAAAATCTGACAAATTTTTATCATTATTATTATGTGAAAATAACTGAATTTCAGATTGAACTCACCAATACATTTCCGTTTCCACAGGCGACAAAAACAAATGAGAAAGATAAGAGAGACAAGCAAAGGCAGGACGACCCAGATAATCTTTGTATTGAATAGAGTTTCGGATTCTATATATAGAGAGAATGAAGAAAAAATAATGGAATTAAATTTTATTTCAAACAAAATGTAACATTTTCCAAGCAGAATTCATCAAAACAGAAAAAATAAAACAAAAACTTTTCATTTACTTTCTCAGGTTCAAAATACAAATATTATATAGCAATTCTATTTTGAATTCAGTAGCCACTTGAAAATCCCTTAGCAATATTCTTTTTGTAAAGTGTGACATAACATGAATAGTTGATGGTTGCCAACCTTAGATTTTGTGCCTTTGATATTTTATCAATATTTTATTTTGTAAGCCAATAAAATAAAGAGGCAGAAATGCATTATAAAATACTACTTTTTACTGTCAGCATTTGATAAGTATAAATGGTAATCTTTAGCAAAATTAGCCATCAGGTTAATTACACTTTCTTGTTATATATGATTGTTGTAATGTGTCTATTATTTAGTTGAGTTTAGTCCACTCATTAGAGTAAGTCCAGCTGTAGATTACTACTGAATTGTCTCGGACAACCACTAAATATAGCTTTTACTGTCTCTCTTAGTCCCACATTCCATTTTCACGTTTATACACATGCGGGTGGGTCTACCTCATTGCTTGGGGTATAAAAATGATAATGGAAAAAAACAAAAAAGGCTTCTTTTCTTTGCAGATAATTTCAGACATCATCTTTCCAATACCATTGTCTGATCTAACAAAATTTTCAATATCATTATCTTGTCAGTTATTTAATATTGCAATGATAACAAAAGTGCACATCTCATTGTAAGTTGGAAAGTATAGATTTCAAATGCAAATAATTAGGAAATGGATAGGAGTGTAACAAATTTTTGGTTATAGTTGCATAACTATATTTTAACATATGTAAAGAATTACAAGACTCTGGGAAATCTGCTAAATAGTATTCATTTGGTTATGGTAGCCACAGTCTGCTCAATGCAATTTCAACCAACAAAGCCATGTAGTATCATAAGATACTGTTGAGTAAGTGCTAATTATATTTCATGATGGTTGAGTTATATTTCAGAATATTGTTAGGAGCTCTATGATAGGAAACTTTCAAGTAGTGTTTGTATATGAATATGTATGCTGTATTTATGTTATCTAGAATATTTTAATGGATGCTTACACAAACACACATGTTTTACTGAATACAATGAACAAGGAATATTTTGCAAGGTTTTTTATTTCTAGTGTTCTTATAGTTTTCCTTTGATGACTAAGACAATTTTTACACACCCTTTAGTCTTCATAAAAGAAATATTGTAAGAATGATAGAAAAATTGAATAAAAAAAATTACAAAATATTCCTTGTCTGTTGTATTCAATGAAACATGTATAAAAGAACAATTCCAAATACACAATAAATTTTTATATATGTATAGAATAGATAATTAAAAGTTCAGTGTCTTATCTTCAAACACAGTGTTTCACAGGCATAGATTCACAAGTCAGGTGTAAGTTAAATCCATTCTTATTTAATTACATTTATTTTACCTCTGATGTGCAGATCTAAGTCCATGAAACTGAGTTGGAAGAGAAGTCATTGAACATTTTATTTTATTTATTTATTATTAATGCTTTATTTCTTAATATTGAATTCTTTATTTACAAAATATGCTTGGTTTAAGTACTTCATCCTCCAGTGATTTACTGGTTAACAGGTTTTGTTTCAACCAAATTTTCAGAAATTCTCATGGGCACCATAAAGATACTGCATGCTGGTGTGGTTTGATAACATCAAGAAGTGATACTATTAATAAAGCCCCAATAACTATTGTTTGTAAATTACAAGCAATATGTGAAGTTACCCTCATATATCAAAATAGTTTTTTGTGAAAAGTTCATATTTTTATGAGATCATTGAAGCAACAACAATAATTGTACTTTCAACAATTCCTAAATGATATTAATACCAGCTTATAAATTTATAATATTACCTGCAATATTTTTAAGTAAGATGATTTCTGATTCCATATTTTGGCCAATTGGCAAGCAGCTTGATTTAACCTTGAACAAGAATTTTAATATGGAATAAATTATGATATATAAATTCAAATAAATTTTAAATATTATTAAGAAATTAAATAACAGATAAAATTACAAAAAACAAATAAAATTACTATTGAGGATTAGTGTAGACATACATAATTTATTTCTCTTTTTCATTTCTTTATAATCTAGAATTATTTTAAAATCTATTCTTGTGCATTAGAATTTACAGTGATTTGTTAATGGATAGTAATCAAAATTAGTTTATTATTAGTGAGACTTACTCTGATCATTTCAAGCCAATACTTTAGCAATTATCAAAAGTGACTAATGTTTGTAATGCTGAGTAAGTAAAAAAAGAACAAGTTTAGTCAGTCGCCTCTTCTCAGGCCAATGACAAGACCTCATGTTGATAACAGGATGTAAAAGAAAGGGATAATTAGACTTGGGTGTTTCCTAATGACATCAGTTTGCAAATAAATGTAACAGTTACAGCTTGATTTCAATTTGGTTTGCTAATTCAAACTTATTCATCTACAATAGTCAACAAATTTAGTATATCTGTTATTTTCGAGTAGTTACTCAGAGTAACAAGATTTAGTGTAATCTAATTACAATAAAGCGAGTGTATTTTCATAAATCTGAAAAAAAAACTGATATTTACTCTGACTCTGAAGAATCCTGGTTGTAGATTTTCAAACACAAAACTGTTATTTGTCTGAAACAGAATAAAAATGTATTAATATTGAACTGGATAAAATGATAAAATTAAAAAAAATATAAACTTATAAATAATGACTTCATTTAAGAATAATTTTTGCCTGCGTAGACATATTTTTGACAATGTTTTTTCTTTTGACAAGAAAGTTTAATTTTCCACTTTTTCCTTTCATTCTTACTTCACTGAATTCTTTTATATTGTACAATATTTGTGATGACAAAATGCTGTAAAGTATACAACAGTTTGCTTCTAAATATTTCAATTTTATTTTGTTTATTGATAGAAAATGTCATTAAGTACAAATATTTCTTCACTAACCTAATTGTTTTCATTAAATGAGACTTTTAAAAATTAAATTTAACCCAAAACAAGACTCAAGATGGTTATTGCTAAAATGGTAATGATGAATGAGGTGTGTGAAAGATGAGGTGGCAGGAAGTGAAGATTATGAGAATCAATAACAAATGACTATTGACTTGAAGTTTTTAAGGAAGCATCAACAAGAAGTTGTAGTTCTTGCAAAAAGGTTTACTGTATCAAACTTTCTTCTTACATTTGGAACATTGAGGAACTATGGTGAATCAACTTTGTGGTAATGTCATGTTCTTGCTGTAAGGGTCTAAACTGGTGGAACTAAAGAATGGAACTCATAATAGCAATAGGCTTGTAACATTGTGTCAGTGGGGAAAGAGGCTGCAGAGTGGAAAATAAGTCTTCACCCACAAGACTGCGTAAATGATTTTGAACTCTATCCAGGCTAGAAAGTGAGATTGAGCAGCTCCTACTTAGATATGGGATCAATACTCCATTTTTGTCCTTCTCTATTGTAAAGATTAAGAATAGCAGAAAGAGTCAGTTATTTCATGGAATGATAGCATGAATTGAGCATTTTTCTAGCTTCTTTAACAATGGAGTGTATATTTACATTGTTCGAACTGTTGTCCTCATCTTTGTTGCTATATTCACAAGTGTTAACTTGTGACTTATCAGGAATTGAACCTGAGACCTTCTCATAACAAATTGTAGGTTGGTTTAATTTAAATAAGACTGTTTCAGCCAATCAGAGGCAGGCTTGGGATTGTAGCAGGCACTATTTAAGACACACAGAAATTTGTTCAGTTGTAAAAAGTCATTTGCCTGTAATGAGTGAATGGGTTGTGAATTGGATTAGCTCGGTATAAGATAGTCAGTGATGACCAGCCTCAACCCATTCCCCCTTTTCGGCCTTGTGCCATAATTGTATATTTTTATACAATAAATATCAAAAGTCATTTCCCTGGGGAGTCTGAGCTATTGGATTAACTCTGTCAGTGCTCATTTTGGCAGTTGCACACTTTGGCTTTCTTCAGGTGATTGAAATTTTGAACTGAACCCTTTATTTTGTCTCCTGGGATAGATTGTTCTAGTTCCACATGTCATATTTCTTCCAAATGTTTCAGTTATCTTCCTTTAACTTAACTCTCCAAGTTGACAAGTTTTTGTTCACCTCTGCAGTAGCCACCTCACAACTCTTTGGGTCAAGTCATTGGATCCAACCAACACTTTTACTCACTGGGTCATGTGTCCTTGAGGACATCAGTGTATGAAATTTTGGGTTTTATAAACGTAATTTCTCAGTAACCATTTTTTACCAAAGCTTATATTACAATTATTGTTTTTCTCTAGCACTCCATATTACTGGTTCCCATATTGTATTCAAGGCCCACCGAGTACAAAAATTAAACAGATTGAAAGATCAGAAGGTGATGTACAATGACTATCATCCCCCAGTGAGAGCAGTAATCAACATCAGTCAAACATCAGCTGGAGTTGAAATGATACTAACTTGGTTTTTGAGGCACTGAAAATTGCAAACCAGTTATTTTCCTATTGAACTATTAGAGCTAAAGTCAAGCTGCAAGGCTTGAATCATCTTGATTTTTGGAAGTTCATCCATTCCTTTAATAAAGTACACAGCTAAAAATCTATTTCCTGTTAAAATCAAAAATTTAATCTTGAAATGTCATGTTAATTCATTTATTCAGTAAATAACAGGGAAAACATAAATGGAAAACATTCAACTGAAAGTTGTCAAATAGTAGCTAAAATTTGTTTTGCTTACTGAGAATGAAACATTTTCTGTGGCTGTCTTATAACTTGTCAAATAGAATAGATTGTTACATTTATTAGTCACTGGAAATCCTAAAATAATGCTTATTGAAAGTCGGTGATGCACAGGAGCAACTGCAAGAATGATCTGGTTGGATTCTGTGAATGAAATAAAACAAAGTATTTAAGTGGAAAATGGTGTGAAAAGTGTTTGCTTTAGTGGATAAAGCAGCCATTGTTTCTATGAGCTAAGAACACAAATAAAAATTATAATATTAAGGTAAGTGAAATAAACACTTAGATTATTACTATTTCTAATTTAAAAGAAAAAAAAAGCTCAAATTTATCTCCTTAAACAGTTTTGACAGTATAAAACAAAAAGATAAATATCTTTTCCATTTCGCAAAAATTGTTTTCATCAATTTCTTAAAACTTTTGACAATCAATATAATTTATTTAATCCACCCATTTGTATGGCTATCTTTCTGTCCATTAGCACAAACCATGCAACACATTTAACAACTGCTAACACATGACATGTTGTTGGCATGAAAATTATCGTAGATGCTTCTTAAAAAAATCAGAAAGGAAGTAAAAAAATTACTATTGCAGTCATACTGTACTTTATAAAAAAAAAATTCATATATTTTTTATTTTTTGGTAAATGAAAAAAAATATCATCTTACTGCAAGAGATTTAAAAAAAAAAATAATTTTCTAAGTCAGGGATTTTCAAACTGTGGATCCTGACCTTTCAGTGGGTTACGAGATAAATAAAAATAAGTTGTGACAAAAAAGAAAAAAAAAATATGCAAGTTAGAGCAAAGTGCAGAATATAAACAACTCTAGCATGGCACTCATAAATCATTGCTAGTTTTTCACTGAGGTAAGCTCATTATATTTTATTTTATTTTTTTAAATATAATTATTTCTGATACCCTCTGAAGAGTGGTCTGTCGACAAAATTCTGGAGTCGGGATGCTAAAGGTAACATCAATCAGCTAAATGACAAATTTTACTTCTATTATATATATAGTCTGTTCTTATTGAGTTTATGTATCTTATTTGTCAAACTCGTTGCAGACTGAGTGACAGAATTTCCTTTAAATTTGTTTTTACTAAAAGCAAAATAGATAATAGAAATAGATACATGAAATTCCATTATGTGCAGATCATAAGAAATATACATATAAATTGTTGATGTTAAGTAAATTAACCTAGTGAACACAGTTTGTCTTTAATTTACTAAATGTAAGTATAATGGGTTGCAATGCAAAATGTGGTTCTTACCTCAGTTTTAAAATTAATTTTTAAAAATGAAAAACCTTGAAGCTTTTATTTTTGTTTTAATTTCAAGCTAATAGATTAATAAATTTAATATCTTAATATTTGTTGTATTTTAAAAACTAATTTAAATTCACTGGAAGGAGTTTTTTTTTTTTTTTACAAAAATAGATGATTAGCGACCATTTTTAGTCACTTTTCAGCACAATGTAATTCTCTTTATTAAAAAATCTTTCAAAAATAAAACTTTATTTGAGGAATATTACCCGATTTAACGTATACTTAATCTGATTGATATGTCATGTGATGCTTTCCCTTGTCTCTTTTTCCCTCTATTCAACCTGTGAGTATCAGATTCTCCAGGCCCTACTTTTTCATTACGTGTCCCAGAAATTTCATCTGCCTCTTCCTTATGTTAAGTATAAGCTTCCTCCTTGTTTGCGTCCTTTCCAAGACCTCATTGTTGCTCACAAGCTTGCTCCATGATATCCTTAGCATCCTTCTGTAGAACCACATCTTTGCTGCCTCTTCATCTTTGAGGAGACCATCCAACATTCACTGCCGTTTAAGAGGACAGATGTCACGTAGCAGCTCAGTACTCTTTTCTTTATCATCAAAGAAATTCTCCCGTCTTGCAGAGTGCCCAGATTTTAGAATGCATCCTTGGCAATCCCAATCTCTCTTCAGATCTCAGCATCACACCTACTGTCCTCTGTCAAAACACTTCCCAGATATTTAAATGCTTGATTTTAGTGCCCTCAACCTGTAAATTGCATTTCCGTCTCATTCTTTTACTGATGACCACGCATTCTATCTTTTTGTAGTTTATGGTTAGTCCTTTCTTCTTGCTCTCCCTCACTGCTTTAGCCATAAAAAAACAATTGAATATAACATGATTGCCTTTTATATATAATCTTACCCAGTAATCTTAAAAATTTAAGAAAATATTCTCCATAATCTAATTTTTAGATACTTCCTTGTTTTAAATTTACTATAGTTATTGCACTTATTTTCTGATAATGTCATGTATGGGTGCCTGTATCTACAAAAATCAGCACGTTTATACATACAAAAAAATTCAAAATTCTTTTAAAAATATTGGTGTTTGATGATTTGTACTAAGCTTTTCTATTTATGATTAGTAAATATAGCTTTTACTAAATAAAACATCATCTAAAAGGATGAAATTAATACAGAATTAAAATTAAGTTAAAAAAATGAAAGCAATTCTTGTAAAAATTCATTACTTTTGAATGTTTGAAAATGTTTAACTGTTGAGTTGTGCCTATAGCTTGTTAGATTGCAGTGGTAAGTCAACATATTATAATGACAAGAAGTATATAGGAAAGAAGAATCAAATGAGAGATCTACAACGTAACATATTTAGTTACCAGCTGAATATACAGCAGAAAAATAAAGGATGTATAAAATTATCCCCTTTTCAGAGAGTTTCTTAGAAAGGGATCTAACTGTACCCACTGTTTACTTTAACATTAATAATAAAATAAAAGGATCCCTAAAGTCAGTTGGATAAATGCATTTTTGAGTTAGTCCACAATTTCAAAATTAAAGTGTTTCTAAAATAGAAAGAGTAAGAGAAAACATTCATAAAAGATAACTGAATGAATGAAATGTGTTATTTTGAAAAAAGCAAACATAGGAGTAGTACATGAAATGTGAGATTGTGTAATCAAATTTTAAGTATTTAAAAGTCTGACTTACTGTTAATAATGACGCTGTATGTTATCTCTGCAGCATATGGCAAAGTTGTAAATTTCAGAAAGTAATTGTTAGCAGTTACAGCTGTGAAGCATTTGTGGTTGATAAAAGCCTGTAGTAAAGAAATTTAAATTATTCACAAGATTGCATATCACATCAAATAAAGTTTGAGGCACTCAAATTATTTGGGGGGCAAGAAGAGTTACTGAAAGAATGTCTGGTGAAGGAACAATCCTGTCCTCTGATGATCTATGAAATTTATCAAGAATTAACAAAAAACTGGATAAATGCATCCTTGATATCTCTTTCTCTCTCTCTCTCTCTATATATATATATATATACACACAAATGCAATTAAAAAGACATCAATAAAAATAATATAAATAAAAAAATATTTTTCTGCATATGTAAATATGAGAAAATGTTTCATCAACCCAAATTTCAATAAATAATTTGAGTATTGTAACTCCATCAAGAAATAAATAAATAATTATGAAGAGGGTTTATAATAAACACAATATTTTATTTAAAAATTTAAGAGAGATTACAAGGAAAGGAAAAAAGTCCTTTTTGTGTGTGTATTGAATAAAATTTGTTTCATGTAGAGTTTATAAGTGACTTACTATGTAAAGTTATTTCATGGAGCAGCATGTGTTAGATTCATTGAGCATTTGTGAGCTGGTTTGAAATGGCTATCAGTACTGCTATTAAGACTGCTGTCCAGATAACATATGGTCTGTTTTTATATCTGACTAGACAGGCTAGAACATTTTGTGTGCAGGCAATTGCTGTCTATGTGTAGGCAGTCTGCGTAGAGGTTTGCGCTGCTGTTGCTTGTGAATTATGATGATTGCAAAAAAAATGGAATGATTCATGTGTATGCTATTTAATCAAATTTTATTTTGTTAAATTGTTCTTTCATATATGCACTATAATTATAAACAATGTACTAAGTTGGCCAGAAAGTTCTGACTCATTTAAGAAGTTGAAAGAAAACAACAAATCTTGATCTCTGGTGGAAATTCCAAGGAATACTGCATTTCGAGCTTGTTTCACATGGTTATGCCATCAATGCTGAACTTTATTGCCACTAGCACTAGACCATGTGTATGACAAATGAAAGATCTTTTAATAATAGACTTATCACTTGCAAAATAATTCATTCATTCACCAAGACAAACACAAATATCAGAAACATTTAACAACTACATTATAAAAACTTTCATATATCTACCAAGCTAGTATAACCAAATTCTTCTAATAATGAATTCTTCTATATATGTATAAATGTCTCACTTTATTGTTATGATGTATATATGTCATATTTTACTAACCAAAAACAGGAGTCAAACAAGGCCCAACATAACATGTTTATTGTTTATGCAATGTCCTTCAATCTTCCTTAACTGATCTCATGTTTTCCTTTTTGTTTTCATTTTTTAATTATGAAAAAATATACTTATTATTTTTGTAGCAAAAACAGGTGATAATAGCTGAAAAATTAAATTTTAGTTCACATTGAGTGAAATGAAAAGTTACTTGAGCAAGCAACACTATTTTACCATCTTATATTTTGCTTCATATGAGCAGAGAAATTTTACATAACTTTTTACAAGTTTGAGAAATAAATTGATACACTTCATAAAAACTAGAGAAATGAAGATAGCAAACTGAGTAGGAATTTGTTTCTGATCAAGAGTGTTGAGAAAAAAATAATATCTTGTTAATAACCACTTATATATGAATCCCATGCAAACATACTGTAAAGATGAAATGCAAATATGCTCATTTATTCTAAAAAAAGTGTAGTTTTTAAAACAGTCACTTACTGGTTGGATGTTTTTTTTACTCGGTTTTTCGATGTTGAAAGAAAAGAGTCTGCAAATGCCATCTCCTCCATATCCACTGTTAGTTTCATTATTCCATATGTTAACACGTACAGCGTAGCAGTACCCAAGCATATCTCAAATATAAAAACATTAAACATCAATTTCTTGCATATTAATACCATCTCATTGACATTTTTTCATTAGATTTTTAATGATCTTAAAGTTATTAAAGAAATGCTTTATTACAATATGGGCCATCCTTTTGTCATATTTGACAAAAAAATTATATTCTGTTCCTCATTAATGCAGCAATATCAAATAATTTCCCTGTTCTTTGATATTTACTTGGGTCATGTAGGTCTATCTTTAATTTCCTTTCAGGTCAAGTGACAATAGGATATCAATGATTGTGTGCAGAGAATCCAATGCAAATAAGAATGTTCTTTTGTGAATGTGATGCAGATCATATATCCACCTTTATAGAAAGAATATAAAAAACAATGAAAAATAAGTATTCATACAATATGTGTTATTGATTTTACAAGCACTTCATAATATGCATGCATTTGGTCACAACATGGAAAGAGAATGGAAGTGATAATCATCAAATCAGGAAAATAAAAGAGGAGTTGGATTAATATTAGATAAAGACAGGAGGAAGCACATTTTTGGGTACTGGCAGTTATCAAACAGGATCATTTCTGTGAAGCTATCATAGGTATCTAGATCAGAAAGCGCTGAAGAAGTAATTGATAAGTTCAGTGACTCACTACAAAATTCCAAATCAGAGTAAGTTGTAAGAAATTACCATCGTTGACTTAGATATAAAAAGAAGTAGGAAATTGAAATGGTTGGTAAAATTGATTTAGATCACACAAATAAAAAATTATTTCAATGGTGCATGGTGAATCTCCAACACATGGTTTAAAGAATATCCAATACATTTGCAGATTTGAAAAAGCCCAAGAGGAGACACACCATTAAATGAGTTAGAAATGCAGTTTTGTTTCTAAAACATAACCAAGATCTGACTGTGAGAGTGACTGCCTCCTCCCAGTTCTTTCAAACTAAAGATAAGTTTTGCAAAAAGTAAAAAAAAACTAAAGTAATGCATATACAGCATTATGAAAAAGTGTAAAGTGATTCCATTTGCAAACAAACATATGAAGATATAAAGCTCTGTAACAAGTCAGGCATTCAAAGTGAAACATCAATTAATTGATGAGAAACCTATACCTACAGTATTTTTATCAAAGATGTTGTCCCAAACCCAAATTAAATATTCCACATTTGACAGGGACTTTCTAGTAGCTTATTTGGAAGTGATTCACTTTTGTCATCTTATAGGTTGCTATGTAGTACTATTCACTGACCAGAAAGCCTCCATGCAGATTGCGGAGCCTTTCACAGCCAAAACCCTCCAAAGATTGTCAGCAATGTCACCTGTCATTGCTCACAGAATACATTGCTGATGTAACATGTATAAAGGGTAGCCAAAATATTATAGCAAACTGTATCTCCAGACCCACATTAGCAGTGCAGGTAGATACTTACAATTTGCCAGAGATAGTGAAAGCTCAGACAAAAGGCAAAGAAATTAAATCTTACCCAAACCTGAAAGAATTCCCACTCTCAAGTAACTGCACAATTGTATGTGACATTTCCATTTTGTTTCCTAGACCATTCATCCCAAGTCCTTTATACAAATCTATTTTCAACAGTTTGTATTTATTTGCTCATCCTGGAATAGGATCATCTATACAATTGATAAAGTCCAGATATTTCTGGCTTAATATGAACAAATCTATCAAACAGAATGTACAGTATGCCAGCAGTCAAATATCCACAGACATACAAAATCTACCATTCAAAATTTTGAATTACCTACCAATCCTTCTGTTAATACACATTGATATTTTCAGGTTACTTCCTCCAGTCTATAATAATTCAGACCTTTACCTAAGACCTTATAGAAATCTCCTAATGTGTATTGATCATGCTGCACATTGGATAGAATTGTAGCCACTAACTGAAATAATGGCACAATCAATAGCAAAGGCATTTATAAACACATGGATTACCAGATTTGGTGTTCCACTCTATGTCATCATTGACAGAGGGAAACAATTTGAAAGTGGATAGTTTCTAAAACTCTCAAACTTATAGGATTCCATATAGTAAGAACAACTGCTTATGTCTCCCCACAATTGCTTAATAGAACTCACAGAACAGTTAAAACAGCCATAATAGCCTGTAAAGAGAGTTGTATCCTGTTAGCACTCCTACTTTTTTTAAAAAATAACCGGAAGAAAAAGCTTGTCCAGATGACTAGGATCAAAGTGTAGTATCTGTTCCAACAGCCATCAGCAGCAATTTCAGCGAGGCAGTCAGTCATCATCATCATCTAGAGCAAGGGTCGACAAACTACGGCCTGTGGGTCAGATCTGGCCCGTGAAGGCATTTTGACTAGCCCGCAAGCCTGATTACCACTGACTCTATTTTTAACATGAGAGACGACCTTCAAATGAAATTTGTTATTTGTCATTTTCCATAGAATGTCTACACATCTTAGTGCCCTGAAAATATTAGACTATGTGCCAGTTATCTTTCATGAGTCTTATTTTACCAAGTTGCGTTGCCTACATTTAATGTCGAACAATGGATACATATTTGTTATGATCCTTGGCTACATTAAATGATAACAGAAGCGAAAGGAATGATAAAGTGAAAGAGGCCAGGGAGGGACTGACATGCGAGGTAGAAGAAATCTAAAGACAGTTAAACATACGCGCATTATACATACATGCCTCATGAATGTGTGGATGATACCGCACGTGTATGTACATAAGTGTATATATTTGCAACTATTTGTACTTGTATGTATAGGTATATGTGCTTTGTTTTTGTTTGATGTGTGTGTGTGGGGTTCATTTATGGAACAATTTTCAATAACAGTTTCAAACCTACACGTCATAATTTCATCCATTTCACTTCGGTTGATTTTTTTCACTTTGAAGTATTTTGAGGAAAAGTAATTTTTGTTAGCTGTTTTTTAATTTTAGATTTTCTTTTGTTTTTCTGATTTCTCAATGTTTATTTTCATTATGGTTTTAAATATTTAGGTTGACAGGGGTCTGCATATATAATTTTCCTTAATTTTTCATTAATGGCCTTCGTCTGGCCCGCGACCCGTCATTATAACATGATCCAGCCCGCGGGGTCAAATGGGTTGCTGACCCCTGATCTAGAGCTTGCCATTAATGATAAAGAGAAGCAGAAAAATTTAACTCTAAAAATCTTGAAATCTTGAAATCATTTTCCACTTTGATTATTAGAATTATGTGTTTGCATTTATTACATTCAGTACTATTAAATTCAAAAAATCTTTTGTAATATAATTTTGTAGAAGATGTTAAAATTATATCACTGACCACCATTTGGGAGAGAAATTGTGTAGTTCAAGGCTGGATATGTTTCACCATAATAGACGCTGTCAGAGTAGGTGATATTGTATACATTTATAGATACAAGACTGACTGTGTTCAACTGGAGATTTTTAGGTGGTACATACTCCTTGAAGACTGTGCAACCTTTATAATGAAAAAATAAGAAATTCAACATTTATTATTTTAAATGTTAACATCATTTTAACATTTTAGAGAAAATATTCATCAAAATTCACTTTTAAAATTGAAAAATTTATAGAAATATTTAATATCAAATTATTTGTTAGAAACTTGTAAAGAATTTATATTACGACATAAAATACTTAATTGTCTAAACTTTAAGCTTAAAAATAAAACCAAATTTGAAATGTAAACAATTTGGACATCTTATAACTTATAATTCTTTTAATTGGCTTTCTCAAGATAAATTTCCATGAGGTTAGTATTATTTATATTCAATATTATTTGTTTTCTAAGATTCAGGCATATTTCTTGCATCTGTATCTACAGTTCTTGCATTAAATTTCTTAGCACTAAGTAAAAATCACATCTCAATTAACAATTATTTTAGGTACAAAATAGACTTATATATGTGTAAATATTTTAGACAGAAGATTAGAACTGCAGTTCCCACTTCTCCTCGGTCTTTTGAACAGAAGTAGAGCTTTATCTTTTGTTTCCTCTTTAGGATTGGCTTTCCAGTTCCTTCTAAAGTGTGCTTCAGCTCTGTACTCCTAATTTTTGCACCTAAACTCTGAAATTTTATTCACTATTTATTTAATTTTATTTTTTTTCTCTCCTCCACCAATAGGAGTAGATAAGTTTGCCTATTGTCCAGTTCACATTCCTCCCTGGTTTTTTGAACAGGAGGAGAGGTTTATCCTTTGTTCCCTGTTTAGGATTAGGTTTACCATTCTTGTTTTTCTCCTATGCTAATATAAGTCCGCACAGTAGACCTCTAAATTGAGTGGCTCTCGGGCCTTGTATTAGATGAACATTAGTAAAAAAAAATTAAATATTAATAGAGATTATTTATCAAGAATTGAATATTTGCAATATTTTGCCCTGTAGCAATCAGTAATAGATTATTTGTGAAAATTTTAAATATCTTTTGGCAATTTTCTAACAGAAATAAAAGAAGGTTATTTAAGTAAAATTCTTTTAGCAAAAAATCTACATACTGTATATACTTGTATAATGCACAATTTCGTGTAATGTGGAACCCCAAATTTTCACCTATAAAAAATGATTTTATCATGTATCATGCAAGTTCCTTTTTTGGAGAGACCAAATTACAATAGATTAACCTCTTTTCCTCATTCTCATTATCCCATCTTCTAGTTAAATAAGTTGAAAAAGTAAAAGAGAATGACAAAAGTATTGTTAGTAATGTTATACTCGTTTCGTAAACATGTACAACCATAAACAACCAAATGAGAAACAGCTAAACATCTTATAAATGTAAAAATGGAAAAGATGCATATTCATCATGTTTGTATTTTATAATACAATACATGTGAATATCACATGCATTTTCATTGGATACAGTTAAGTAAAACATCAGTTTTCTCAAAATTATGTTTATTTTAAATATAGTTTGGTCAATGGTGTAGCCAGGGGCAGCAGTACATACACTAATTTCATATCTTGTGTATGATGTGACCTCCTTAAAATTAGCTTCAAAATTATGTCTTCAAAAGTTACATGATATGCGAGTATATACAATACATCTCTAAACATGGTCTCAAATGGTTTTTAACATTTTGCTGAAGTCAAAAGTTTTATGTATGTTGACATTCAATATGACTTCTTCACTTATATCTCTCAATTTTAATAACCCTGAAGTGGACTCAAAATTAATATTTATAAGGAACCCTGGCCACTACTGAAGTTAACTCATAAAAAATAAGAAAAAGCCAAAAAAAAAAAAAAACAACAGAAAAAATGTTTTAAAAACTAAAAAATTATTTAAAAAAATGAAGAAAACCCTGAATTGGGAAAAAAAGATGTCTCTAGTACACAGTTATCACTGGCATAAGCACAGTTTAATACTTGACATTTGTAAATAAAACCCCCAAATCAGGGATCAATTTGACACTTTGTTTATATTTTAACAGGACCTCACTTCTAAAATGATATAATAATCAATATTTTTCAATTTTGACAAATGTTGTTGGTTGAGGAAAGTCTAATGCATCTACAAAAATAAATAGACCCAAAATTTTCTCTATTCTTTATGAGAAGACCAGTTAATCTCAGTAGAAGGAAAGGTTGTTTCCATTAAGCATGACTTACTTAAAAAAATAGATGACAAAATGTGAACAATCTTAAAATAAATGAATTCAACACATACATGGATTTTATATACTGTATATTTCTGTATATAGAATGACCTTTAATTCCCAAAAGTCACCCTTAAAAATTGGGCTTCATCTTATACAACAATTCTAAAAAAGAAACCTTAAATTCTGAGTGATGTTTGTCAGTAGGCTACCTTGGCCTCAGTGTGATAATCAATAATTTATCAAATAAACTGATAATAAAAGTAATAAAATGATTTCTACTTTATATATTACTGACATGACTTCATAATAAATTGCCTATTTGAAGAATAATTCCATATCAATGAAATCAACTTGTATCCATGAGAGCTCAGCTGAGAAAATGTAAACATTAAATTATGATTGTGTCTACAACAATGGAATGTACTATGTTTGTACAGTATAACTGTTATTAGCAGTATTTTGTGATTGTCAATGAAGTATAAGTAAATGGCCATTAGTACACTAAGCTGTTTGTAACTGTTTAGATATAAAAAAAGAAGAATAAGAAGAAGAATCAGTATTCACAATAGATCACATAATGAAACGTAAACTAAACAATGATATCCCCTCTTAGGGAACGTCTGTAGGAAAAACATGATATAGAATCGGTTTTGTTATTTCGCTTATTTTGAATTTCTAAGGATACAATAAATAACATTTCCAATAACATCATCTTTATACAGTCAATAAGCGGTCATCTTATACTACAGGTATAAGATAAATTCATGAAAATTTGCTATATTTTTTGACCTCGTCTTCTAAAGATTGCTTTATAAACGGAAATATACAGTATATTTATATACAGAACAAACTGTGACATAGCTAAGAAAAGGGGAGAAAATCCATTCTTTAGCAAACTGCAAACCTGAGTGAGAATATGAATGGAAAATATTTCTTTAAAAAGCTTGTTATTATATCAGGTTATCAGTTTGTTAAAGGAGTCATCAGCTTGTAGCAACTTAGCCTCATTTATTGAACTGAGATATTTTCTTGGGTTGGATATCACATGTTTATGCGATAAGTTGTAGTGGAGATATTGTTTTGGTTGAATGTGTTTTTTTTTAACAGGAGATGCAATATGACATTTGTTTCAGAGTCTATGATGTCCCCCCAAAAGCGAAAGGAGACATGTCTTTTTACTATGGTATAAGGAGGTTGAAGAGAGAAAGAACAGAGTGTTTGTGTCCTTTCCTTCTTTATAGTATGCCACCTGGTGGTCATTAAAAGCAGTCCTATGGTAGACAAGGCAGAGTAATCTCATAATGTTATATACTTCCTAAAATAATTTACTCTATATCTTGAGGTGAAATATTTCATGTAATTAGTGAGAAACTTTTTGGATTCTTTCAGTTGAACTAATGAATATATTTTGGAAGTTAGTGCATCATTGCTAGCAGGAAATACAATATTTATCACATATTTATATACAACATTTACTATATACAATATTTATCACATGTAAAAATGCAATAAAATTTCTCATTTTACAAATAACCTAATAATCAAAGTAAGTTTCATAATTTTATGTTATCTACAGTTAAGTAGAAATTTTAAACTTACCATTAATATTCTTTACAACACATGGAAATTTAAAACTTTTATTTGATTGTGGCTGAAATAAAAATCAAATACTGAAAGAATTTGATAACAAATAATCTAACAATTTCTCTTGAAAAGGTGAATATTTTATTTAAAATCCAAAATATTATTTTTACTATTTAATAATAGTATGTAGTGGTGTTGTAAGATATGTTGGCTAGGGTCACCGTAAAATGTAATAGCAATCAAGAAGGAAAGCTGTGTTCTTATAAACAACACTCCATATCAAATATGCACAGAATATATGACAGAAATAAGTCAAGCTCCATGAACATTAAATAAATATTTGTATTATAACAACAATATACAAACATCAACAATAAAGCATGAAAAAGTTACTTCCCTTTTGTCTGTAATAAAAAGGGTGAATGCAGTTAAGTAATGTTGAGTTACAATATTAAATGTTAATTAATTATAAAGTTCAATTAATGTTCTTAGCTCAATGAAGAATAATTCCACAGTCTGTTTGTGAGTGTGAAAAGATGTAATGTGAACAAGTGATATTAATAGAAGTTAATAAGATTACTCGAATGAGTAATAACTAAGAATTAAAATGTTATAAGTAATATAGCACCATGCCGTATATTCAGAGAATTGAACTGCTAATGCCGTGTTAAGTGTATAATTATCTAATTAATGAGAATAGTCACTAATATAGAAGATCTAGAATGGAATATTTAAGACTACTACTTAGACACTGTTTAGACATTGTGGCCATTGAAATTTTAGCAGTATTATGTAATAGTGCTGCCATAATACTAAAATAAATTTTTGCCTAACAGACAGCAGGAAATGTGACACTAAAATTTGAAGACACATTGGAATAGTAAATGATGCCTTCCAAAAGCTAAGCAAAGTCTTAATAAACAGGAAAATTTTGTCAGAAACAAAGAAAAGAGTGCTAAACATTTATGCAATATCAGTTCTCCTATAAGGCAGTGAATATTGAACAATCTCCTCACAGATGAAGAAGAAACTTGAGGCAACAGAAATGTGAATCCACAGGAGGATGCTGAGAATACTAGCATTGAATATGAGAGTAAAAGAGGTTTTAAGGAAAATGGAAATAGAAAGGATGTTTATACTTAGAATTAGAAAGAGACAGTTGAAATTTCTAGGATATGTAATGAGAAAAGAAAGTTTGGAGAATTTAACATACTGAAGGCAAAATGGACTGAGGAAATAACTAGTGACCTACCTAATGAGCTTGTGTAAATTGATGGAAGAAGAGAGAGTGAGGGTGGAGAAAAGACAAACCGGTACTATCTACCAAGGCATTTGTAACCTACCATAAAAAAAATGCACTCATTATTGCTGGAAAATGCTCAGGAAAAATGATGATCTGTTTACTGTTTTTTAAATGACATCAAATCAGTTTAAAAACATTAAAATCACTATTTGATGATTTAAAAAAAATTTTTGTATAAAAAATTGTTAATGATTTTTAATACATAACAAGTTCATTGCTCACTGTCTTTAACCCTAACCGTAACCCTAATTCCTGACCCTAACCCTAACCCATTTCATACTTCGAACAGTTGTTAAATATCATACCATAGTAGAAAATGAATAGTAGATATCATACTATAGTAGCACCAACAAATCTTATTAAAAGCAATAAAGTATAGAAAATTGTTGAGAGCCATGACCCATCATCACCTGAAGAAGAATTAATTCTAATAATTAAGTAATAATATAATTTTATTGTGTCAATCCAGGGATAGTTTATCAACATTTTTACATAAATATTTTAACAACCTAGACCCTAAACAATAAATGTCAAGAACAACAACAACAACAACAACAGTAAAAACAATGAAATAAATAAAGAAATGAAAGAAAAAGAAAAGAAACAGTATTAAAACATTAAAAATACCTACAAGAAAGTCATGCAATTCAAATTTACATTAATAAACCCAATTTTTCAAAATAATTTTAAATGTCATAACTTTGACTTTAAATTACACAAGATAATTTTTATAAAATATTGTGTCATGTGTTCTTTTAAAAAAAATGACACCTTAAAATATAATACATATAATCTTTTAACATCAAGTCTGGCTTTTTTGATACTCTTTAATGTCTGTATCTAGAAATCTAAGCATTCAAACAGTTAAATTTCACTTTTAAAAGCATGCTTGTTATATTTGTTTAAAAATTAGTATACATATACTTACCAATAACTGGCAATCGTAAGGTGTAAAATGTGTGTAAGAACAATCTGTACACTGTGTAGGATTCATTAAACAATTCAAGATAAAAAAGAAAATATAAGACAACAACCACATTGTTGCTTTTATTATTTCCCCACTATGACCTGGATTGTGTCTGTGGAGAAATAAATGTAGAAAATATTGTCGAGTTTTGTTACTTGCCCTTCCCTCATGGCTATTTAATACTTACCTGATTTGAAATGATCTTTTCAAAGGAAGTGAAATATGACTGGCTTCAAGTGTTTTAATCAACGTTTATCCTTAAAGATAGAGAAATAATTTTAATTAATTTTAAAAGCATGATTTTCTTTTAATTTTAATTAATTTTAAAAGCATGATTTTCTGAATATTGTTGATTATTATATAAATCACAAGGTTTTGCTTTAAGTTGAAAGATTTTATTATTTACTGAATTATTTACTGCATCTACAGCAGTTAGTTTTTTTTTCAAGTATAAAATTCAGTTGACACTATCTAAACTGATACTAATACTTTATGAAAAGTGTGTAATGTATTTGAGAAATTATTGAAAAATAATTTTATACTTACAAATCTTTATCTTTTGTAGATTTAACTAAAATTAAAATTCCAGAACACTTTTTCTGCATTCACATTTAACTAAATTTAACCACTCATTTGCTCTGACCCAAATTTAAATAAAGAAACATATTTTCAGGAAAATATAAACATAGCCTAACCTGTAATTAAGTTGATCACTCTCTCTTATCAGTCTTTCTCTTATTAATGCACATCCCCCACATGCTATCTATCTATCTATCTATCTATCTATCTATCTATCTATCTATCTATCTATCTATCTATCTATCTTTTTACATAACAAGTCCACAGCCTATTAATGAAAAAAACAAAAAAAAAACATCTATTTTGCACAACAAATATCTCTTGATATAATTTCCTTCCTTGTCAACAACATATCAATGCATTTAATTCAGTGGAGAATAAATGCATAGATCAAACAATAACATTATACAGTAAAAATTCAGGAGTGTCAAATTGAAGATTTGAATGCATAGAGAGAGAGAGAGAGAGAGAGAGAGCAAGGAGACACACACACACAGGGAGAAGTAGGACAAGTTTATATTATTTTAGTAATATTTAATGTAAAAAATAAATTACATAAAAATATGACCTAAATCCCCCAAATCTGGAGCTTGACATATATCAGCATTTTCTTTTACCTAAACATCAACTTTTCAGGCTTTATCTATAATATTGCATTGATCACATACACAAGTTCTTTTTACATACAATACTGTGGCTAGGGAGTAATAATGATTTTAATACAATTTAAAATGAGACCCTATATAAAAAAATACATTAAGTATTCATCTAAAAATCTAATATTGTGAAATAGTAAGTTATTTGGTTTAAAAATGTGGTAAGAAAAATAAGATGAAATAATATAAAAATTTTATTTTTACTATTTTAAAAATGTTAGTCTTGAAATGTTAGTTTAATTGTTTAGGTGTTTTTTTTAGTACACGTTCTTTTGAGAGAAGTGTATTTTTTATGAAGGTGTTGTGTCGGAAACCTACCACCCCTCTTGAAGATGAACTTGTCTGCGTCTATGAACAAAGACTTTAAATAATGGAAGACAGATAGACAGAGAAGTTCTTAGCTGAGCTCAGGCGATTTCTGTACCTTTTTACCAACCTATTAAAACCCTTTTTATTGTTATGTGTTATTTGGCGTTTGTCTCTACTAACCCCGAATCAACATCATAACAGAAGAAGGCCAGACGATTTGTGTAAAAAAATTGTTATACTTGTATATCTTTTTTGGCTCAGCAGTTAAAACATACCAAAACTTGTGAAGGATCCATTTCTAATTTATGGAAAATTATTTTTTTGTATATACTGACCAATGGCCTCAAGCTCTAGTAACAAACCAAATGGGAACCTTGTGAGCCTAATTTTCTAGATATATAGATCTCAGGATGGGGAGAAGACATTTTGACAGTAAGGGTCAAGGGAAATCAGCATTAAAGAGCAGAAGGCATTTGACATCAAGAAGAGAGCATCAAGAAGGCATCGGTTACCAGCCAGCTGCAGAGAAACTAATGAATTTTGAAGTTCAAGTGAAAATTCTCCTGTGGTTGGACAACAAAGAATGAAAAAGAATTTAAAGAAATATTCCCAAGCATGTGAATTTAAAAGGGACTTTTCAAAAATTACTATGTTCCATAGATGCTCATGGGGCAAGTAAAAGTAGATGTTTTTGTTTTTTCTGAAAGGTGATTGCACCTTTGCTTTTCTGTCTTCTTTTATTGCTTTCTCTTTCGTTTTTTTTTCAAAATTCTTGTCTTTTCCCAAACTGTAATTTTTTCCATTTTTTGATGGTAATCCATTTTATCAGAAACTAACAGTCTTCAACCAGGTGTTTCATTACTGGGAATTTTTGCCATTCATTTGAAGCAGTTTAAATTTAAAGTTGGCCCACCTGAAAATTGATATTAGTAACAATAATTGGGTGCAACTGTGGCACATCTCCAAATGGGGGATTAACAATTTGAATGGGAGGCTGGCCCTGAAAAGGGACGTTTTTATGTTCTCAATCTTGCAAGGAAGAGACCTCTTCCATGAACCATCATAATAATAATATAAGATAATTTTTATTCATAATATAATTTTTTTTTTATAATTTTAATTATGTTTTGCATTAGATTTCAACTCTCTAAATTGATTGTACGCTGTTTTTTACAGGCATTAAATTTTGCCTTGGATTTTTGTGCAAAGTGTAAAAAATCAGTTTTTTCGATTTTTCACCTTCAAGGTTTTAATTTTTTCCAGCCAATTTGGACTCAAAACTGGCACTGAAGAATTATCTATCAAACAAAAAAATTTCAACAAAATCAGATGAAAACTGTGGAAATGCATGAACAACATCCGATCACACACAGACACACACACACACATATTTTGAGAATTATAGATATAGATTGTTAGTCTGCCTTAATATGCACACAAAAGTAAATTTTTGAGTGAATTTTGTATTTGTACCTTTCTTGTAATTATGTAATAACTGTTTTTCCTTTAAAGTTTTATGCAGTGATTGAGTCTTATTTTGTAATTTTGTGCCTATTATGACTTCCTGTTTCTACTATGTTTTTGTGTTTGATACAAGAACTTAGATATGATAGTAAATAAAATTTTTATAATACATAAAAGCAATATTCAAATAAGACTAAAATAAGAGCAAAATCAATAATTTTGTAGTCTTTTGAAATGATTGCCACATAATTTTCTTTCAAGGAAGCAGGCATATGCAAATCAAGATTGTAATCAATCAACAAAGGCAAATCAAGGAAAACAAGTCTACATTCTTTTGCTAAGTTACATAGATTTTGAAACCAAAAGAGAAGAAAGAACCATTCTATTTAGATTGACTTATAATAAAGTTACATTGAAAGCACTGGTTCCTATCAGATCACTAAAGTTAAACAGTGATTGAATGGGTAATCATGAAAAAAACCCAAAGGTTAGATTAACTTAATATTGTTTAGATTAAATTAATCTTGTTAGTCTACTAACAAAATTTGGTGAAGAATTTTAACAATCTCAAATGAATTCAACATTTATTTGTTTCATTTACAAAATATAAGAATGGAAATGCTTTATCTTGTTAATACACCCTCTCAAAATAATAATACAAGCAAGATTAGAACAAGGTAATAAAATGAAGTAAGATTGTAACAGAATTAAGTTACCAGTTTATTATGGGAATCATCACTTTATAGTGTGTTGACTCCTTTGCTGGACAGAGTAACTTTCTTGTGTTGGAGACAGATATCTTTAATGTGGTAGTCTGTAGTAAAGATATTATTGTGGTTGCATGAGGTTTTTCTGAATAGAAGATAGTGTAGAGATAGTATTGTGTTGTAGACAATGTGACATATGGTTTGGGAACTAAGAAGTCTCACAGAAAGATAAAGAGTCATGTCTTATCATTATGGCATCCTGTGAGTGAAGGGAGCAAGAAAAGAGAGAGGACTTGTGCCCTTTCCAAAAGAAAAGGATACTTCAATATACAATGCCATTTAGTGGGCATTAAGAGAAGTCTCCTGGTACACAAGATGGAGTAAGCCCATATTCAAAGAGAAACACCAGGTACTATAAACAACCTTAGTGCCAGATTAAACAAGATTCTCTACCAAATGCCAATCTAAATTTTTGGTTTCATACTGCACAATTGTGAAATTTTCACTTACCTTTCACTAAATTCTAACAGAAAATCTTTCTCTTTCAATCATATACTGATGTTTAAAAAATAATTATATTTATTTTACAATGGCTAAGTTGGCAATTAGTTGGTAGGAATTCTCCTTTGGTATTCCTTTCTGATGTGTGATGGATAGCACAAACACTTCATTTTCTCCTGTTGAACATATTACTACATATAATGTTGGCTTCCAGGGTGAAGAACTGTTAAAGCAAGCAAACTATGTTAATGGGGGTTTATGCAAGAAAGTATTCCAATTTACATTTCTCTTGTTATAGGGATTATTATATCCCTGATATCCATGATATAGTAACACCTTAATATGTAGATGGAACAGAATAGCTCAAAGAAAAGGAATGACAAACATACTTTGTTCTCAAAGAAATTTTTATACTGCTAAGTTGTACACAAAATTATATACAAACATTTAACTTGTTCCTCACAGAGAAACTACAACACATGTATACAACAACAAACAGCATGAAAAATGTGAAGAAACATACAGTCTTACTTGTAATAATTCCCAATGTTAATTTGAGCAGCCAAAAGATACTTCTATGTTTCTGGAGGAGCCATATTTTTCTAATGGGAAAACTGGTAAGATTATATTTATATTTCCTAATGGGAATTCAAGTAGGCCGGATTTATCTTCTATGTCTCTGATGAGAACATATTTTCCACTGGGAAAATGGTGAGTCATGTGTATTTCACAAAAGGAAGACTGTGAGCCAGAGTTAACTTCTACATCTCCGTATAGGAAAACGGCTTTATGGGCTTGTGTGCATCTAATC